AAACAATACTAGACAATTATGTTTATAATCAGGCTCACAGAGATTAACCTACAATAGACATCAAAAAGGATGGATCACCTACATTACTCTTAGTGGGATTAGTCAACAATATATTTGTATTTGTGACATAATATTCAGAACCTATAAACCACGTCTTATAGTTTATCATTATCATTTTTATGGTAATTTTATCATTCTAGCAGAATATTGTGATTTGATCTGGAAAGGTAGTTTTTGTAAAAATAAATTATAAATTATCTTAAAGATACTATATGTTTAAGATTACATAACTGAAATCATCTCTAAGTGAGAGTAACCAACAGGCCTAACAATTAGAATCATGATGGTCTTCTAAATGAAATACAGATATTAAAAAAATCTCATCTCCCCTATGGGTGGTATGTATCTTGCTTAATCTCAGATCCTCCAGGGAATTAGCACTTTATAAAGAGAGAAATTCAGTAGCAGACATCTCTTTACACGGATTGGAGCTGACTTTTCTAGGAAAAAATGAATCCAACAATATTCCACAATCCAAAATTAATCTAATTTAGCATATTCGGCTTATATTAATATTGAAACTGAAAGAACTTTGTTTCATTTTCTGGTTAAGTTCACCTGCTACACAAATAGTAGTTTTTCTAGCCATCCAAGAGCTGAAATTAAATACATGATTAATAAAAATAATTGCATGCAGTGTGGTTTAATTCTTATGCACATCAAATTCAAAGATTTGCCCAGAAATTATTTCACTGGAAGTTTTGTAATGTAGCATTCAGTTTGACAGAATTCGAATTTTGAAAAAGTTGCTGGTATTAAAAACTAAAACTATTTTAGCAGGACTGAATAGCTACATGAACAAATATATTGAGTTATTTTGTCAGAAAAGAAAAAAGAAAAATGTGACAATATGCTTATCATGCTGATTAATTATCTTGCTTATTCATTTTTATGCAAAAAAATGGAATATTTCCCCCAGAAAAATATATAGTTTATTCTAGTGTATTAGTCCAACTACCATATAGATAACTTTTTATTGTCTCCCTCTGTCAAAGAAAAAGGATGGATAGAATTTATCTGTATAGAAAAGAGCCAAACTGGACATTAATAAATTTCTGGGGAGTTAGAGTGTGTTTGATTATGGCACTCAATCTGTAGGCAAATCCTATTCATGTCAATATTTTTCTTTCTTCTAACGATACCTGTCATATGCTCTTAAAATGTCAAATATGCCTTTTGGCCCCAAACAGATTGGAGCCATTTATCCACTCAAAATGCTAACTCGTGGTTTAATATGTCTTTCAAATCCCCCAAATTGGGCTTTGTACAAACTATGGATCACCAATGAGAAAATATATCATGCAAAAATACCCTACACCAGCTTGTTCCAATCACATGTTCTCCACATGTACAGGGACTGCAGCTTCTATAATTCATAGTTCACTTGTCCCTGCCTGGGAATTCTGGAAGATATAGTTCCAAAATCCAGCACTTTTGCAAGGTGTCAGGTTAAGACTAGTCTAGATTTTTTTTAACATTTAACACTCTATTCCTTTCTAATAGTTTTATTTGGCAACATATTTTGTAATCTGATAGAGATTTTACAGAGATAAACAAGTACCATAAATATATCATAAGAATATCACCATTTATACAGCACCTCAAATGAGGTTCAAAGCAATTCACATATATTATAAATTGCATCAAAAAGTAAAATTCTGAGACAATAATATACTCTTGAATTATATACCTAATATATAGAAATTAACAACAGGACAGCATAAATGGATTCTTCATGCCCTTGTTATACCTAAAAGACTGATACTGCAGTATTTTTAAAAAGATTTACTCCATTTATTCCACTCTTCCAGTGGATGGAAGATTTGATTTCACTTGCTACTTAGGAGCAGATTGCCTGTAGATGAAAACTTTGCATGAGCAAATAGAATATGAGACTCATTTATATAAAATAAAGTACCGATAGGTTAAAAACATGACCGTTCTATAAGTGTATTAGAAATGAACACACATACATGGCTAGTGTTTATATTAAATAATTATGCAGAGAACTCTGTTTATTCTAACGGCATATTATCCTATATTTTTTGTTGTAATTTTTCACTCATTTTTATGCATTTGTTGTGCATTTTTAAAAATTATGTATTATTGTGTTTTTGTTTTTCTTCATTTTTTTTATTTTAAAAGCAATAACAATTATTTTCAACAATGTTATAATCTGCAGTAAAATAATTTAAGTGGTTAGAAATTATCCACAAATGTTATCCTTTTCATATCCTTAAATGAAAAGCTAATACAATGGCTTCCTATATCTGCCTAATTTGATCATGGTAGAGTAATAATCTCCTTTTAATGCCACAAAAGACAGAAACTGCTATTTATTAGTATTGTTATTATTTCCAAGGAGAGACATTATGAGATTTTGTTTCAAATACAAAAATGATTCAATCTACTTCGTATATTATAACCTTCAACTGGTATCTACAAGGTTACAACAGCTGTCAAATAAAACTAGTGTATGTACTATATTTTGGAGAGATGTGTTCTAGAACATTGGTCTCTAAAATGAAGTGCACATACACAACAGGGAGTGCACAAATTGATCCATTGCAGTGTAGAAAGGAAGTAGAACAAAGGCTAAATAAGAAATTAAGATATATAAATACTATAATATTATAGTATATAATATTTTATATACATTTTACATATACTATTTATAAGTATGTAATACATTCATTCAGGAATAATATATTAAACATGCACATATTGGAGTTCATGTTCAAACTTTTTATTGATTGGATTGCACTATCAAAAAGGTTTGGAGACTACTGCTTTGGAAAACTGCATATAAAACTTCAGGCTAGACACTAATTTCATGTTTCTTCAATCTTCAAATTAGTGAAAACAGTACTTAATTCACTTAATTCTACATACTATGACTACACAGGGCAAAAAGCAATCGCTTCTGGGCATATAAAACAAAAAATCAAATCACTTTAATACTTTTATCACGATTACATGATGCAACAGTTGCACCAAGCTACATTAGCCTAATTATAAAACAGTTGGTATGTTAGGGGAAAACATAAACAATGCAATGCCACAAGGGAGAATTGTCTCACAAACAAAATTATCAATGTTACAATATAAGACCATTACTGAAAGAAAAATGTCAGTCATATTATTATTCAGCTCATAAATACAACATGATACATAATGATATTCTCTCCCAAATTTGTTCAATAATGGGACATGGTTTTGCTCTTTGCTGACAACAAAGATCCTATTTTCTGACACTGACCTTATTACAATGCAAATTTATCTTTGGTTCAACATTAGACTACCAAAATGCAAGAATTTCTAAAGAGAGAGGGGGAAGTTCTGGGGCTACAGAAGAAGCACCAATCCCTCCATTAAAATATAGAACAATCATCTCTACACAACATGTCCAAGGATATCTTCAATGGTGCTCTTCTATTTCATCAATCAAATACAAGAAGCATCTCTAATAAATCAACTCCCCCACATGCACATGGCTTCTCTGTAGAGATTAAACACAGAGCAAAATGACAATTATGTGGGCCTGGGAAGTAAAAAAAAAATCTCCAGGTGACAAAGTTTCCAGGGAAACACCTACTCCATCCTAATTAAAGGCATTATTCCAATAAGGGTTATTTTATTCTTCTAATAAGGGTTATTTTGCAGATCACAGTCCAGGGCCTATTAAGATGTGGTGTTAAACATGGCATGAAAGGGGGCACATTCAAATTATTGGGTGAGCAGGGAAAAGGAGAAAAGAGCAAAGGAAAGGCAATTCTCTCTCTCTCTCTCTCTCTCTCTCTCTCTCTCTCTCTCTCACACACACACACACACACACACACACACACACACACACACACACACACACACACAGAGCACATCAGTCCCTAAGGCCATTTACTTTCCCTCAGACAAGGCAACGGGTCCGCCAAACACAGGAAACCGAGTACGGGTTGCAGCATCTCACGTGGCCGGGAAGGAGTGACCTGTTGAATTCCTGCCTGGCAGGGCCCCAGCCACAAGTCGAAAGGAGGAAACTTAGCGGCTAAGAAACCCCCTCCTCAAACAACCCGCATCTCTCGAGCCCACCCTAGCCCTCTGCGAGATCCTCGGGGGAGCTTTAAGGCCTGACAGGCACAACGGTTCCTCTCCACTGCACCCCCCTCCACCTCTTTCTAACACAGTACCTGGAGGAAGCGGGAGCGGAGACGCCGCCACACGCCGCTCTTGATCTTCGGCCCCGCTGGCTCCGCTTTCGCGGCCTCCAAGCGCGGAGGCTTTGAACCGGGTATCCTCGGGAGCGGCCGGTTCGCCAGACATCGGAAAGCGAGACAAAGAAGCCCCCGAAGTCAAAGCGGGGAGAGGCGAACCGAGCCGGAAACAGCCGGGGAAAGCCGAACGCTCCGCTTCCTCTGACAGCGGCCGCTTCTCAGGCCTTCACCCTCCGGAGTTCCCGCCTAAATTCGGCCGCGAACGAGAGCGGTCTTCGAGCGTTGTCCCGACGACAGTGAGCGAAGCAAGGAAAGGGAAAACGGCGACCCTTCCCGGAAGAACCGGTCTCCATGGAGACCGCTCTCCAGGAAGGACGCGTTGTCATAGTACCGGGAGACTTTCCCCTCCTCCTTCATTGCTCCCCCTGCGGTCGGAGCCATGGACAGTAGCACGTCTTTGCAGGCGGCTGGCGCGGACGAGGAAGAGGAGGAGGAGGACGAAGAAGATGAATATGATGAGGAGGAAGAAGAGGAGGGGGAGGGTGAATCGCCGGCCCGCCGCCGCCGCCGCCGCCGCCTCTCTTCCCTGAAGCCTGAGTCTTCAGTCAAAGAAAGCAGCCAGCCGTCGGCTGCATCCGAAACCCTGCCCGAAGCTGAAGCTCTGCCCGAAGTCAAAGTTCCTATCATCGTTGGTCCTTTGTATTTATCCTGGACCCCCGAGGAGGTGGCTGAATGGATCGGCGACTTGGGCTTTCCTCAATACAAGTTAAGATCGCGTTTCCTTGCTAGCAGAATGAGTTCACACCTCATATTAAGCCATAGTTTCCGGAGTATGTCCCAAACTGGGCCTATTTAGACAGACAGACAGACAGACAGACAGACAGACACACACACACACACACACACACACACACACACACACACACCTTGCTTTGCAATGACTGGATTCAAACTTGATTTAAGCAGCAAGCCTCTGATCCACTTTAGCATGTTTGGTGAATCCAGATTGGATGCATAGTTTCCTGCCACTGGTGATTTATTACAATTAAACAATAGGGCTCCGCATAATGCGTCCATCTGTAAGAAAAACAGCATTATTTGATACAAGGTTTTGCCTGTTGTCAAAAATAACCTACACAACCTGGTTTCAGAATGTAGCAATGCTACAATAAAACTACCATAATGTAAGCTTCCCCCTTTTGCATTGGTGGTGTGATGTAAAACACAAGTATGTAAGGACTGGAATTTGTGTCATGTTTTAATACATCCCAGTGACAGTGTAGCTAAGACTGAGTGACAAAAATCAAGATGATCAGTAAATGTTAACAAAAGCTAGAATAGAGGTAGTCCTCAATTTATGACCAAAAAATTATATGGTTAAGTGAGAAATGTATTGAGTTTTGCCCCATTTTAGAACTTTTCTTGCCACATTTGTTAAGTGAACCACTGCAGTTGTTAAATTAGTAACATGGTGGTTAAGTGAATCAGATTTCCCAATTGATTTTGCTTGTCAGAAGGTCTCAGAAAGGCATCACATGACTCTGGGACACTACAACTGTCATAAATGTGAGTCAGTTGTCAAGCATCTGAATGTAAATCACATGTCCATGGGGATGCTACAACGGTCATAAGTGTGAAAAACAGTCATAAGACACTTTTTCAGTACCATTGTAATTTTCAACTGTCACTGAACGAACTGTTGTAAGTCAAGGATTACCTGTAGTCTGTGCCTTCTGGCTGCTATCCTTATTGCTATCCAGATTCTTGCAGATTTTGTACATTTATCTAAAGTGGTAATCAAATATTTTTTCATAGATAATACTAAATGTCATTTTTTAATGGAATGAGATGAGGAGAGACAAAAGATACAAAGGAGAAATGAGTTGTAGCTTTATTCAATCACTTATTTATTTAGGAAATTTACGTGGCTACCCAATTCATTCATGATGACTATGGGTTTACCCAAATATGCACTCATGCACTAATTTTTATTTATTTAGAACATTTATATGGTCACCCAACTTACAATGACTCTGGGCTTAGATAAATATGCACTAGTGCACTAATTATAACGTGGTTTATTTGGTTGTGTGAAGTCAGCCAATTGTGGCCCATTAAACAGATTATTTTTAAGGAATGTCATATATGAATTTAGGAAGATGTATGAATTTAGTTTCACATCATGGTCATATCCCTAGAAAGAGTACCCTGATGACAAAATTATTCACAAAGGATTTCAGTTATGGGATTCTTTGTCTATGATACCTAAAGGGGAAACACTAAGGTTTGCAGAACTGAGTGTTGTCAGCAGAGATGTCAAACTCAATTTCATTGAGGGTTGTAGTTGACCTGGGGGGGCCAGGATGGGCGTGGAAAGGGTGGGCATGTTAGGGGCACCTATGGTCGCCCAAGCGCTCTGCCAGTGAAAACAGGCTCCCAAGCTCCATTTTCAGCTGCAACGGCTTCCTGCAACTCTCTGCCAGTGAAAACGGAGCTCGAGAGGGGGAGGCACAGCCCTCCCAAGCTCCATTTTCACCGGTAGAGGCACCGTGGGCCGTTCCTTCGCTGTTTCCAGGGCAATCCCATGCCAGATCTAAGCACCCCCAGGCCTTGAGATTGACACCCCTAGTATTGTATTGCAAAAGAAAAAAGAAACAGAAGAGATCCAACAAGGGGAATTTGGAGCTACTAAGTCACTGAAGAGTGCCATCCATTGCTAAATAAAACATCATTGATAAGTCATTAGTCAGTATAACTACCAGTACTAGTAAGCTAAAATTAGGTTCCTTATCTCTTGTTTAGGTTCTTTGGTCTATCAGCCTACTGAAATATAAAAATGAGTTCAGTGGCGCTTAAAAAATGTAAAGGAGGTCCCAAAATTTTCTCTTCTGGATATTCATGAATCATGTTTTCATATTTTTGTAGGTGCTGCTAGCTAGGTAATTGGAAGAATAGAACATCTGAAGCTCATATTAATAATAATATCTCTTATTTTGTTTTAAATAGGAGTGTTTTACTACAAATTTTATCTCAGGACGGAAACTCATATATGTAAACTGTTCAAATCTGCCACAGATTGGGATTACTGATTTTGAACATATGAAGGTAAGAGTACATATATATTTGCATGGGTGATAACTGAAGGATATTATCAGACACAAAATATATAGTATAATGCCAGAGCTGTATGTTAGCTTCTTATAATAGTACATCAGTATGGTATAGTGGTTAAAGTACTAGCCTATAAATCAGGAGACTGTAACATGAAAGCCAAGTGGGTAACTTTGGGCTAGTCACTCTTTCTCAGCTCAGCTTTCCTCATTAGGTTGTTGTTGTTATAGGGGAAAACAGAAGGAGAAAGATATTATTCTTGTTCACTGCCTTGAATCACCTATAAAGTAACAAAGATGGAATAAAAATCTAATCAATAAATAAATACTACGTGAGAGCCAGTTGGGTATAGCGCTTAAGGCATCAGACTGAAAACCAGGAGACCATGGATTCTAGTCCCTCACTTAGGCACAAAGCCAGCTGGGTGACCTCAGGGTACTCCCTTTCCCTCAGTCCTAGGAAGGAGGCAATGAAAAACCACTTCTGAAAAATCTTGCCCAAAAAGCTGTAGGGATTTGCTTAGGCAGTCTCCAAGAATTGCATGTGATTGAACAGAAGAAACCCCCCGCCCCCATATAGTTATTTTAAGTTAAAAGGATCCTATATGGGAGAATCTGTTAATTATATTTTTTGTTCACACACATAGAATGTTACCATCATGCTGTTGACTATTGATGATTTTACTTTTTATTAATTTTGTGGTTTTGTACTGACTTTCTCTGAAAATGTTTAACTAATAAATGTTAAGAATACAGTATTTTTAGTGTTTGTTTAGAAGCTAAGAATGGTTGCTTAAATATGAACCTGAAATGCATGCATATGGAGACGTTATTCTTATGTTACAGACATATTTTCCAGCTTTCTTTACTGAGAATGAAATGGATTTGTGTGACCATGTTTCTTTATTGTGGCAAAATCCATTTTAAACCTTTTGATGTATAAAAGATTAAGAACCTAAACTACATGTAACAGTAGTACATTTATATGTTTGTGTATACTGCACTGGATTACTTTGAATTATATGCCAGCCTAGTGGGGTACTATAATGATAATTATGTAGGTTTAGAAAGATGAACATAGTAATTGTTTTCTAGATACAGAGATACAGATAATCAGAGTTGGAAGGGACCTTGTAGGTCATCTAGTCCAACCCCCCGCCCAAGCGGGAGACCCTACACCATTTCTGACAAATGGCAGTCCAATCTCTTCTTGAAAAACTCAACTGATGGCGCTCCTACACCTTCCGATTTTTTAGATTTTTTTTAGATTTCTAGACTTTTTTCCTCTTTTTTTCTTTGCAGGAAATTTCAAAGCATGTACGAGAATTGCTGCAAATTGAGGAGCCCCGTTTTGAAAGAAGTATCTCTCTCCCACCTCGAGATAACATTGGTTTGTTCTTAGAACAAAAGACACGAACTGGAAAGCGCAGTGATGCTCTCAGTTATTCTCAGTTTGTTCAAGAAGCAAGGTTACAAGAATATGAACCAAAGCCTCCGACTCCACCATATGAAGAACTACAGCTTTCAACTCCACCATGTGAAGAACTACAAGAAGCCAGTTCATTTTTCTCTAAATAAGAAAAAAATATTTATTGTTCACATATTTCAGATATCACATTGTAACTATTTCTGCATTTCTATTTCAGTTTTCAGTGTGAACAAAATTGTATATGGATGCTGTATCCTAATCCTAAATTTAATAAATAGGATATCATGGAGGAAGTGCTTACTGATGGATGCAAAACAGAAATTTTTGCACATCAGTAATGCAAAATAAAGTCATATGTAAACACAGAGGATTGTCCTTATCATTATTTATGATGAAGTTTTATCATTTGTCCTATGAGGAGTCTTATAAGAATATATGGGGCTTCAAGACAGCTGCCACACATTAATGAGTTGCTTTAAATATTTCATATCAATTGACAGCATCCCTTACAAAAACATTAAAGTCAGACAGTGCTGCTTAAAATGTTCCATACATTATAAAATGTTTATAATGATCAAATATGCAACAATAGTTAGTTAAGCCAATTGTATTTTATTAATTAAGTTTTCCTTAAGTTCTAAATAAATTCCTTAAGTTTTAAATAAATCCACAGTGAAGCAACATGAAAAATCAAATAACCAAACTTATAAATACATTATTTAGAACATAATTTATGTCTGAAAAGTAGACATGAAAGCCAAAGGGGGTAATCACTTCAGATCTAAAAGATACAATAAAACACAAACTTCAATTAAAGTACCAAATATGACAGGGTATATGACATAGTGGAATCTGTGCACAAAATGATAGTGAAACACATTAGTGTATTCATGTGAATGCAACATGGACAAGTATGATAGAAAGGGGGCTATAAAGTATAAATCATGTTAATTGTTTTTTTTAGAATTTTCCTTCTATTTTGCATTTATGCCTAAATTTTCACTGCAAAATGTAATTTTCAATTGGCTTTCATTAATATTTACCATTTGAATTCTTATAACATTGTAGACGCTGCTCCCAAAGTTCTTTTAATGATAAAAATGAGAGCAAAAGAATATTTCCACTTCTAATAGCTTGAATAATTTATAAGTCTTCAGAATCACTACTAGATGTCTCTTCTGTTTTCTTTGCAGACATTTCATCAATTTGAAAAACCAGTGACTTTGTGGGTTTCAGCAACACTGCTGAGAGAGGTATCTTTTTAGTCATAGATGTCGTCAAATCTTCACTTTTCTTGGCCAATGCTGTTATCATGTTAAAGTAAGATGAAGCAATGAATTCTTGAACTGATGTATTTGTTTCAAGAAACTGGCTAAGAGGCGAGTCTTTTAGCTGGACAGTTGTTATATCAAACCAGGGGAAGGAACTAGAAAAGAAAAGTGTATTATGTATGGGTCCTGAAGTTATATGGTAACTGTTTTATCACTGCAGAGGTAAAGGAATGGAAATGGGAGTACATTTAATGATTAAGCTCTAGTCTCTAAAGGTTCTTCAGGCATCTATCATAGGTTCTTTTTGTATGTATGCAATTTATCACTTACTCCAAATAGGTCATCTAAACAGAACCTACTCCAGTACCCTACTTTGGGAGAACTGAAGCCAATAGGTACTTAGTTCTCTGAAAACTCTTCTGTGGAGTTAACACCAGCCCTGCAGTTCCCAAAATATGCATGTGCTGCCCTGGGGGCTTTTAAAGTTTCAAGGAAAGCACAGCAGTACTTCACTGTGTAAAATACTAGCTGTTAGTTCAGAGTTCTGGTCTAGGGTCACTGAAATAACCGGGAACTAAAAATGTTTGGGAACTCTGAGTTGGTCCCTTTTTTGATTGCATTCAGAAAGTTGTTAAAGACAGAACTTTTCTTGAAAATATTTTAACTCGATTGGGCCATCACTTTTTTTATTTTTAAGATATTTTATCCATGAGTTGTTTTGTTATGTTTTTTAGTTGTTATTTGTTTGTTGTTATTCAAGCAATGATCTTGTTGTGGTTGCCTCTGTAATCCAGAGATTAACAAGGCACTCTACAGAATGGGAAGATGGCAAAATCCCCAATCACTATTTGAAACTCCAGGCTGAGACCCATCACGTCCTTGGGGGTAGAACAGCATCTTAATTGACCCTTCTTCTCTGCAGATGCAAGTAGCTTCAGGTAATCCCATTGTCACAAGAAAGTGAGCTGCCTGTGACAGAGACTGCAACAAATATTCCCCAGAACTAGATCGTATTCTATCTTCTCCAAGATAAAAGCCAGATGTAAAGGCCAGCCTTATAGGACGGGCCAGTGATGACCTGGCATAAGCCCAAGATTGCCACAATGGCCACACAAACACTCGAAATTCAATTATGTGGCCACAGGTACAGAGGCATCAGAATTTCAAAACAGGTTGTGACTGCCTTTTACCAGATAAGTCATAACTTCTAATAATGGCTAAGCAACCAGCCGTAAGTCGAGGACTACCTATATACAGAGCTTCTGTGCTAGCCTCAACATATTTACCTCACAAAATGTACATAAAATCATTTTTACATTCAGGATTACTCATAAGAGAAATGTCTTCAATTTATGACAATATTGCTACAAATGCAAATTGTGTTTTCAGTAGCCTCCACATGATGGCTTAGCTTTAGAAGCAGCGCAGTCTGAAGTGGAACATGGGACAAATTCTGAAAAATGCAGACTGAATTACACAAGGACACAGATTGGGTATTATGCACCGATAGGTCTCAAGCTGAGGTACAGGAAGGAAGGAGCCAGCATGTATAGCACCATTCTCTTATACCATTGGAATCCTGATGTGTTATTGGGGATTTGATGTGGGAGGGGGACATTGGATGAGCTTGTCAGGACAGAAGCTCCTGTACTTTGTGACTTTCTGGAAGAGTTATTCATATTATTTCTCTTAAAAAATTAAGTCACTAAATGTTACTCATAAATTCCACAAATGATGCATTATGAAAATTGTTGGATAAAACAAGATTAAACAGAACAACTTTCTTCTGGATTTTACTTACTCATCAGCAGCCAAGGAGGAAGCAAAAGCTTGGTTGATAAAATGTTCACAAACTAGAAATGGAGATGAGGTGGTGGCATTGCCTTCACAAAAACATACTTGATTGAGCAATCTCAGAGCCTTTGTATAGGGTAAGTGTTGTTCGGTATAGCTATTTAAAGCTGTATAAAATACAGCTGCCAGCCACTTCATGTTGACAGCTATTTCACCTGAAAAATAAGGAAATATTTTCTTTCATGCTTAGTTCACCGTGCCTCTTTAATAGCCTTCTTTGACCTGTTGCCCTCCCATCCCTCTTGAGTCATAATGGCCAATGGAAAACACCAAGTTGGAGAACATTGTTTAAAGCTTCAACTGTAAAATACAAGCTAATAAAGGAAAAATGCTTGCACTGCTCCTGTTTTGAACATTCCTCAGTTGGCTTTTCTATAGCCACCTTTGCCACCACATTCTGCTGCATGGATGGGTCAGGCATCACAGAGGCTAATAGTGCCCATAGCTTATTGCATCGTCACTGGCACTAATTTTCTGGACAAGACACAGATAGTTATAAAAGAACAAGGGGAAAAGGCTTGCAAAAATCAGCCTACTCTTGGAGTTGCAAGGACATGTCGCCTGGATAACTGCTGTATCTTTGAGGGCCTCCAGAACTGTCCTGTTAGCCTCCCATATAGAAAAAGAGCTGTTCTCAGAACACTTGTATTGTGGCCTCAAGATTGAACAGGAGGACATCAGTTGCTTCAATCTGAAAGTAAGTAAGATTATGCTGTTGGATTAAACATCAAAAAGCAAGGATGCAAAAATATGTATCTGTGAATCATGCCAATTTTCAGCTACTTCCTTCAGCCAATTATTATTAATATACTGTACATACACAAAATGGGCATGTTATGTATATATATTGATTTCTTGTTCTATCGTACATGGACACAGTAAAAAAGATATATGCTCAGTTACAACAACAGCTGTGTTTATACCTTTGAAATGTAACTACAAAACATATGGCAGAAATGGCAGTAACCTTAATATTAAAGTCTGGCTTTCACTATTTGACAAAAGGGTCTACTACAATGCCATTCTTATTCATATAAAAGACCTAAGATTTCCACAGCCAAATTCCATTTCTGGTAATTGCACTCATATAATGTTCATATATATATACAGGCTCATATATTGGGCCATTCTAGGAATAAACATTTGGAAGGGAACATGATATTTTTTTGGTTTTCCATTCAAATTAGCAACGATATCATAATGCACAATACCTGTTCAAAGGGATTGCTGTGACCAGGCTATATATAATACAAGAGTTTTTGAGAGAATCATGAATTTCGGAACATATATGTGGAAGATGACATGGAAGACAGCAGAGAAAAACAACATCTGCCCAGCTTATCAGCTGCTTGTTGTTATAGACACATTCAACTCCTAGCTTGTGGAATTCTACTAAAAACAATATAACGAAAAAGGGAATATTTAATTTCTGCTCCAATAGAATAAAACTTTAACTTTTATGAGTGGTTAGACAGAAGAGTAAGAAACGGAAACATGTGATAATAGTAATAATATATTACAATTAATTGACTTAGATTGAGCAAGAGAATGAATATAATTTAGGTAAGGATGAAATATATTTTTTAAAGATAATAATTACAATATTAATGATAATATAATAATTGACCAATGCGAGATAAAATATTAATTAGAATGGTTTTATATATATAAACAAGTAAGAAATATATGATAATATTATTATGTGCACAAGATACATGTACCCTACAGACACACTGTTGATGGTTTTTGTAAAAATGGTTGTTGTAAAAATAAAAAAAAAACTTTTTTTAAAAAAACCCAAAACTTAAACTGAAGAGGCTGCAATCTTTAGTTTCCTTCTAAATCTCCAGAAAGATAAGCACGTTAATTTGTTACAATACTGAACTTGATAGACAGCTTAACAACTCCGGTTGTTTGACTTACAGTTTATGTCTAACTACCACACTATGGCTGTCCATTTCCACTTATTTGCTCTTCCAGATACTATTGCTGTTGCACCTTCTTCTTTTAGCTTTTTTTTAGAC